GGCAACTTCCAGAAATCCCACCCAGCACAGCAAGTGGTGAAGGCTCCTGGGAACTGCAGTCCAAGAACATCTGGGGACTCCAGTTTGAGAACCACTGGCCTAAACCACTGAGCTACACTCAATAGAACGCATGTCTTCCAATTAAACTCATTTTTTTTTGGCATAAGCATTGACAGGCCAGCAGTATCCGGCTCCCATGGAGCAAAACCTACAGGCCGTCTTGTGACATCACAAATATTGTACTAGTAACAAGTTGGTCGTTCAAGATTCTATTCCTTTTTGCTTGAAAGACTACAGATTAATGTTATTGTCAATCTCCCTATGGACATTTCCGCAATGAAAGTGGCTATAGGTAGGTAGCAGCATAACATGAAAGTCCACCAACTGCATGTAGAAATTTGCCCAACTCATTCGTCTTTAATGTTCTTGCTGCAGCCGGTGCACACTAACATACCCACCCTTCTGAACATCCTATTCATTAAAGTTTTGTCATATTTGTCTCATTTCTGTCCCACTTTCCTCCCTGTGCAGACATCCATTTAACATGAGTTTATGATTGTTTACTGCTGAACACAACCACATCCCCAGTTATAAGAGGGTGTGCACACAGATGCAGCCATATTATTTCAATTTTTATATTTTTACTTTCTTCTACCTAAGAGATTTCAGTTAGTTGTTAAACTGAGTTGTACAACTCATAGGTCTCATTAAAGGTGGAAAAGTTCTGAAACCTGACATTTTAACAGGGGTGTGTAAACTTTTTATATCCATTGTATGCAAGATATTTAAGGAGCAGTTTACCACTGCAGTCCTTCAGTGAGGTTCAACAGTCAAAGGAGGATCTGAAGCTAAATATCTTGAATCCTAATTTGATACTCTCATTCTGGAACCTCTTCCACTCCAGGGAATCTAGGCACTGTGGTTGAAAAAAAGCAACTTTCTAAAGCTTCAGACAACACACTATTTAAACAAAGGCTTCGGCACTGCAGCTGTCCCATTTCCTTGACTGGGTCCCCAAGTCCAGTGGAGCAGACAGCTGATGGGCTTCTTTCCAGAGGAGATTGCCAGGAGATCTGCTGGCTTGTAGCACAGAAGACTATGCTGAGAGACTCAAGGTGGTCTTGGATGGCTGTTTCCTTGTGTCTCAAAGGAAAGCTGAATGAATGGGGAGCAAGAAGAGAGAGAATGGGAGAGAGGGGAAAGGAGAAGAGAGCAGCCAGAAAGATAATTCGAGGAGGCCACAAAGAGGGCATTGAGTTGAGAACGAGGTTAAAACAAAGGCATAGCCTACGCTGGAGATAGGTAACAAGTACAGGTTGCTGAGCTAGCGGAAGAAAAGCCACCGGCAATCTGTGCAAAAGCCTGGGGTAGCACTTATTCCAGTGTAGCTGGAACCCGGAAGAACAGAAAGCACAATTCATAGCCTGGAGCCAGATCTAGAAGACAAAACAATTAATCAAGGGGTTGTAGAAAGTAAAATTTTAAAGTATATGCCATTATACCTTCTCAGCCAGAAAGGTGGGGCTCGTCAGCCTTGGAAGGCAGCCCATCTAGGAGAAGGAAAACTCCAATTTCAAGCCTCCACTGCCTTGTGGCTATATCCACTCATGGAAAAGGCTTCAGGAGTTAACCTAGAGGCAAAGTACGGAGCCTTAGTCCCGGAGGCAGTTCGTGTCGTTCTGTCAACTCCTGCAACGTCGCTGGATCCAGTTGTATTGGCTCTTGCCTTTCCATTGGACTACTTCAGCGATGTGGAGAGGGGGGATTTGCTGCTTGGGTAACAGCCTATCCTCCATATTATTTGACCCAGGCTTCGTGCTCTGGAGAGGACATTCCAGCTTTGCATACACCGTCGAAACAACACGGAAAGGGCTTACCACTCTCAAATTGGCCTCCTCAGCCACACCAGATGCTGTTCCAGGTCCTCCATACAGAGCATGTTACCATAGTCTCTCAAGACTGAAAGATGCCTAACACTACCACCTTCTCAAGGCAGATATGAGGAATGAATGCATGGTTTGCCAGATATTGTTCGACTCCTGATTCCCACCATCCTTCATCATGGGCTAGAATCATGTAACGGCCATGAGGTAACCAGTTTAGCCCCAAGGGCAGGAACTGTAACCAGTAGGCACAAATAGAACACTTGGCAAAACCAGGTGGGTTTTCACATGTGTGTATGGGTGTGTTATGCAGCACCATTTCAGAACATACAAAAAACTTTTATTGATTAAGGCGTCCCAAGTATTTCATCTTTTCCCACCACAACTCTTTGAAACACAAAGCATTCTTAGTTACATGCAACCTCCCTCTATCAAGAAGTTACAGTGGTGCCCCGCATAGCAAGGTTAATCCGTTCCAGATTAACCTTCGCTATGGGGAAACATCGCTAAACGGAACGGAAAAGCCCATTGGAACGCATTAAACTTTGTTTAATGTGTTCCAACGGGGCCCAAACTCACCGTTGAGTGAAGTTTCCCCATCCGGCCGCCATTTTCGCGCCCTCGCGCATGGCCATTTTGGGTGTTCCGGCGGCCATTTTGGAATCGCCAATCAGCTGTTCCCCTGACATCGCAATGCGAAGATCAGTAAGTGAAACGCTTACCGATCGTCGCAAAGCGAATTTTGCCCTATTCAAACATCGGTATGCGATCGCGTTAGCGATCGCAAAATCCGCATCACTATGCAGATTCATCATTAAACGGTGCACTCGTTATGCGAGGCACCACTGTACTTTTAACAACATTCTGGTCCCAATGGAGGTGGGTTTGCCAGTTCTTAATTCCAACTGAGGTAGGAGGGAAGAAATGGAAGGAATCTCATCAATTCACCATCTTCAGTGTTTTCTCCTCCTGGGCTGCTTTGAAGTCCAGTAAAATCTTCTCTCTGTTGGAAGATTCCAGTACCTGATTACCTTCTTATCTCCCTATTCATATGTACACGGAAGGCAAGTTATGGAGTAGAAACCCTTCCCCATGCATCTCTGCCCACCACGCTGGATACTGCCAGAAGAAATTCTCCAGAGCATAATCATTTCACATTTTTAAAATCAAACTTAACTGATGGATGAATCTGTTCATTTTTTTTTAATTCCTCCATTTTTCTGCTCCGGCAGAAGGTTTTCTTGCACTGAGAACCTTCATATAGTCAGTGTTAATTCTCTTTTTTTCAAGCCTCTCCCCCCACTGAAACATTTCTCATATTGATACCTTTTTTAATTATTATTTCTCCTGTGTATGCACTCTCTGATGCCTCAACAAATCTCCTTTCTTTCTGAATTTTTTATCACAGTCAGGACATTCATAGGGTTTCTCTCCAGTATGAATCCTGTGATGCTGCTTCAAAGTTCCTCTTTCACTGAAACATTTCCCACACTGGGAACATTTGTACGGTTTCTCTCCGGTATGAATTCTCTCGTGTTGCTTCAGAGTTCCTCCGTCAGTGAAGCATCTCCCACACCAGGAGCATTTGTAGGGTTTCTCTCCAGTATGAATTCTCTCATGTTTCCTCAAATTCCCTCCATCAGCAAAGTCTTTCCCACACCAAGCACATTTGTACGGCTTCTCTCCAGTATGAACTCTCTGGTGGAGCTTTAAATGGCCGCTCTGACTGCAGCTTTTTGCTTCAGAGTTCCTCCGTCGGTGAAGCATCTCCCACACCAGGAGCATTTGTAGGGTTTCTCTCCAGTATGAATTCTCTCATGTTTCCTCAAATTCCCTCCATCAGCAAAGTCTTTCCCACACCAAGCACATTTGTACGGCTTCTCTCCAGTATGAACTCTCTGGTGGAGCTTTAAATGGCCGCTCTGACTGCAGCTTTTTCCACAGTCAGGGCATTTATACCGTCTCTCTCCAGTATGAATCCTCTGGTGCCTTTTCAAGTTTTCTCTCCCACAGAACCATTTTCCACACTGAGAACATTTGTCCGTTTTTTCTCCTGTATTAATTCCCGGTAGTCTCATTATCGTTTGCCTCAAAGGAAAGACTTTCCCAGACATGGGACCTTCTGGAATCTTCTTTCCAATATGAAGTTGCTCGTGATTTGCCAAATGTTCTTTCTCACTGAAGCATTTCCTACAGTGGGGACATTCAAATGGTCCCTCCCCACTTCCCAAACCTTCGTTTCTCTGAAGGGATTCTGTGGAACTCAACCGGTTTCCCCGCTCAGAACTGGCAGATTTTTCTTCTGTCTGGCGAATCTGATTAACTCCTGGCCCATCCTCAGAGAATTCAGATTTACTTTTGCCTTTTACTGTTCGCTGTTGTTTCTTAGGGTATGAATTGACCCGGACGTCCTCTTCAGGGTTGGCACATTCATCGTGGTCCTCCTGGGAATCAAACACATCAAGTTGTAACGTACAGTGGTAGCTTCTACTGTGCTTGGAGAACCACAACGTCTCTCCCTTTGAGTCTACTTTAGAAGGCTGCAGGCTTCCATCCCCTCTCGTGACCGACTGCTTCTCTTCTTCCTCTACAGATTCACCTCTTTCCTCACACCTCTCAGTTCTCTCGCGCACATTCCTTTGGCTTATCTGTAGTGATGTCCTGGGGATGTCCTCTGTTTCATTTTTTCCCCACTGAGTATTTTCTGTCTTCACTCGGCTTCCCTTCCCTGCAGAAAAAAAGAGAGGAATTTTGTCCATGCACTGGAGAGTTCCTTTCCTTGTAATGCTAGTTCTCCTGAATTCCCCTTCTACATTATTTATCTCACACACCCATCCATGGTACTGTACTTTCTGTCTCTGGGACCATGTCAGTCTTCTCTGCCCATCTGAATCTTGTTTCTTATAGAAAACTAAAAAGAGTGGCCAATATCCAGTACTGAATCACATCAAGGGCAGGCCCATTAAATCAGAAGCACTCATATGGGTGAGTAGTAGAGATGGGCAAGAACTAGTTCATCCCAGTTCATAAAGGTGCTGCTCCCCAGCCTTGCCTCCTTAGCCAATCAGCCACTCACCAGCCCCAGCTTGCTTGTTTTTCCCACCCCTTCAGCTGATCTCCCAAACAGGAGCAAGAGCACAGACTTCTCTGCCCTGCCCCTTTCTCTGAGTGGGGAGATCAGCCACGAGGGCGGGGCAGAGAAGCCTGAGCTGTTACCGAGACTGGTAGATCAGTTGAGGAGGTGCAGGAAGGGTAGTGCGCTGCGCCTGGCGAGTGGCCGATTGAGCCGGAGGAGCCGGGACGAACTGGTTTATGCCCATCTTTAGTACTCACTAAATCCCCATTGATTCAGTGGGCCTCTTCTAGTCACAGCTTCCTGGATTTCAGCCAGTATCAAATGCTTTTCAAGGAAATGTATGTAAAAATATGGACTGCTGCTAAGGGCTAGACACTCTGGTCCTGCAGTTCAGTGACTTACTTTTAAAGGTGACGTGCCTTCTGTGGAACAGAATGACTCAAAATGGCTGGACATATTAAAAATGCAGGGAAATTGCAAATTAAAAGCTGCCGAGCCAGACTGTGGGTCCATCTAGCCCACTATGATCAACTCTTGATTGGTAGTAAGTAGGTCTCCATATTTTCATGTGAGATTCTTAAAAATGGGGTTGCTGTTTTGTTTTGAATTTAAGCTTTTAGTCTTGTTTGTTTAAATACTATAAGCTGCCTCTTGTCCACTTGAGGACAAAGGCCAGGTATAAAAATGTTAAATAAATAAAAATAAATGAGCAATTATTTCCTAACCATACCTGGATATTCCTGATATTGCTGAGTGGTCTCTCACCAAATCCCATCAAAGCCCTAATCAAACCCGACATTACTTAAGCTTCTGGAACTAGACAAAATAGGATTATGTTCAAGGTGGTTGGTTACATCTAATAATGCTTCTTATTTATCTACCGATCTTCGCTTTGCGACGCCCGCAGATCAGCTGTTCAGCGGTTTCAAAATGGCCGCCGGACACCCAAAATGGCTGCATGCAGCGTTTTCGCGCCCTCACCTCGCTTACTGAGGGCGCGAAAATGGCTGCCGGACTCTGGAAACTTTGCTAAACGGTGAGTTTTGTGCCCATTTGGAACACATTAAACGATGGGCTTCCCCATTCCGTTTAGCGAAGTTTTCACATAGCGAAGGTTAATCCGGAACGGATTAACCTCGCTATGCGGGGCACCACTGTATTTCCTAACCATACCTGGATATTCCTGATATTGCTGAGTGGTCTCTCCCCCCAAAATCCCATCAAAGCCCTAATCAAACCCAACATTACTTAAGCTACTGGAACTAGACAAGATAGGATTATGTTCAAGGTGGTTGGTTGCATCTAATAATGTTTCCTATTTATCATTTTGTTCTTCTTGTTGTACTGTTTTAAATTGGGTCTGTGACCACAGAGGGAGGGAGGACAATGTTTTTCTGCCACCATGAAGTACACAATGGGGTGGGTTACATTCTTATTGACACAATTATCTCAGTAACTTAGCCGCCCAGAGTAGACTTCAGTCTAGATGGGTGGGGTATAAATTTAATAAATAAATAAATAATAAATAAGTGGAAAAATGACAAAATAAAAGATGTATATCAGGTGGCTGTGTCTCATGAGATGTTCCAAACATTCAAGCTCTCCTCGTCTGCACATTTGATGCAGGTACAAGAGTTCTGGCTTAACTTTTTACCTGCTCAGCTCCAGCATCCAACAGGCACAAAATCGGGAGAACGTGTAATAGCAAGGATAGGATTTTCATGTTTCTTGGACGACATACTCGACCCTAGCCTATTCTGGAAGTTCTATCTGACTTACACATACCTTACAGAGCCCTAAATGTGGCTCACCCAGGAGAAAAGTCCTAAACCGGAAGGCTGGAAGGCTTAGCCAGGCCTAGCTCTGCTTAGCTTTTTGTTCAGAAAGAAAGCTCCAAGATATCTCCAGGACAGGAAGAGGAAGCTTCAGTGGAGCGAGGCCTAGCTAAGTCTCCAAGCCTTCCTTCCAGGTTAGACCTTTTCTCTCCGACGAGCCACATTTAGGTTTTCTGTAAGGTGTGTGTCACTCAAGTAGAATTCCCAGAATGAGGAATTCTGGGATCTGTAATCCAAAAAAAATCCAAAACTCCCATCTCTGTTTAATAACCCAGAACCCTTACCAAGGAAATCACTGCTTTGCTCAGCCACTTTGTAAGCCTGCGTCCGACCAGCATTTGAAAGGTCCTCTTCCTCTCTCTCTAGGGAATCCAAACACTCTTCTTTTATCGGCCTCTGAAACACAAAGGAGGATCCCAATCAGAACAGAAGGCATATCCAGAAACATACTGTATCCTTTTTAGGGCAAAAAAGAAACACTGTAAAAGCAAAAGCAAAGCGTGGTGCTTATATATACCACCCCATAGTGCTTCATGCACTCTCTCGGCAGTTTACAAGTTAATTATGCAGGGTACCCATTCCCCCCCCCCAAGCAAGCCCAGACCTCCCTGGGTACTCATTTTACCGACCTCGGAAGGATAGAAGGCTGAGTGAACCTTGAGCCGGCTACCTGGGACTGAACCCTGGGGTCATGAGCAGAGTTTGTGCTGCAGTACAGCAGTTTAACCCCTGCACTATGAGAGTCTTGCTTTGTATTCATGTGTTCCATCATCCTTGGTATCCTTTAAGACTCTTGCTCTGTACTCATGTGTTCCATCATCCTTGGTATCCTTTAAGATACTATTTTCCCTTCTCCCCATATCTTGGTTGCTCCCTTGATATTCTGAGCAGCTTGCTAGATGGGCCAAGACAGCCAGATAAGGAACTGCTGATGAGCTCAGTGGCAGAGGTTGGGAGTTCAATTCCCACAGCACCACCTTGAGAGGGCTGGACTTGATGATCTACAGGGTCCCTTCCAGCTCTGAAGTTCAAAGTTTATTATTAATTAAGAAGAATGGAAACCGGTTCCAGTTTTTATCCCATCTTAAAATTAGGAACAATAAAAACACAGAAAGCTGTCTTTGAAGAGACATTGACCATTTGCCCTGCAGTTTGCAATGGTTTAGGTATAGAAGAATTTGAATTTATACCCAGCAGCCGCATGATATAAATTGCAATGCAGGGAAGTCCACTGTGGAATCATCTATTTTAGTGAGGCAACTTTTTCGTTTCAGCAACGGGTAGTTTAAATACGCTCTGATTGGACTGATATTGTTTTTGCCTGCTTCCTGTCAGGGTGATCATTTGATCTAACATCAAGAGTGTTCTTACAGGGATGTCAGTTCTCCTCAACCCACCTGTGTTGTCTGCAAACAACTCTCTCTCTCTCTCTCTCTCTCTCTCTCTCTCTCTGTGTGTGTGTGTGTGTGTGTTTAAGGCTTTCAAGGCAGTGCTAGACTACTGTGTCACTAGCTCACTTCAGGAAAAGTCACTTTTTTAAAAAGTAGAAATTACTAATCAGCATCCTGTCAAAGGCTACTTCTGCTGTGCAAATTCAAGCCCTCCACTTCTGTCCCATTGATTCTTCCAAAGTACAGTGGATCCTCGCATAACGAGCGCACCGTTTAATGACGAATCCGCATAGCAATCTATTTTTTGGGATCGCTAATGCGATCGCATTGCGATGTTTAGATAGGGTAAACATCGCAGTGCGATGATCGGTAAGCGTTTCGCTTACCAATCTCCGCATTGCGATGTTTTTAGAACAGCTGATCGGCGGTTCCAAAATGGCCGCTGGGTGCCCAAAATGGCCACCGCAAGCATTTTCGTGCGGTTTCCTCGCTTACCGAGGCGGCAAAAATGGCGGCGCTATGGAGGATCTTCGCTAAACAGTGAGTTTGGGCCCCATAGGAACGCATTAAATGAAGTTTAATGCGTTCCGATGGGGTTTTCAGTTCCGTTTAACGATGTTTCCGGATAGCAACTATAAATCCGGAACGGATTAACGTCGCTATGCGGCGCACCACTGTATTTCATGTCTGGATGTCTACAGCGATGTTATCCCTGGAAACCCAATCTGGAAAAAAATGCAGATCCAGATGTATTTCCCCCACTCTGTTTGTTGCACCTTTACACCCAATCAGGCCACTGATCTCTGCCCAGCCCCAGCTAGACTGGCAGGAGCTCCCCATGTCATGGCTTCGCGGGATGAATCCTGCTGCAAGAATGAATAGCAGCTCCTTGAAACTAACATAGGGGAGTGCCATGAGATGTTTGTATTCAAGATGGCACTCAGCAGATCATCTTAAAAAGAGCTCTAGCAGGCTACAGCTTTTGCCGAAGGGCTGTTAATTCTTAAAGGAGCAACTCCAAAAAAACTTCCAACAGCTCAATCGACCTCTTTTCTCCACTCAGGAGACTCCGTGATTACATCCAGGAGGACACCTTACCTGCCACTTCCTCCTCTGAGCGATCTGCTGGCTCACGAGGAAGTCCTCCGCCAGGGCCACCGCCTGAGAACATGTGTCCTGCCCTTCTGCTCGGATCCAGTTCTGGAGATGCAAGGGCAGGCTGGCCAGGAACTGCTCCAGGATCTGCTCCTTGCTGCGTCTCTCCGGCTTCAACCACCGGTGCCAAAGTTCTTGGAGTTGGCAATGAAAGGTCCGGGGGTCTTCAGCCTCCTGGCTAGAGAAATACCCAAACTGCATCTGCATTTTCATGGCATGTGCATCCATGATGGTGGCCTTCACTTTCTCATAGTCCTCCCTGTCTGCAGGTTTCAGGGTTTCAAAGGCCTCTTCAGCTATTCCACTCAGGGCTGGGAGGAGCTGGGCTACCCATTCTTCCCTGGGCCACTGGCAGGCTTTGGCCACTCGCTCAAAAGAAGCCAAGAAGGCCTTGGGGTCATCCCATGGGTCTGAGTCCGATGCTGTCGGGCTCTCCTCTCCTGGGTGAATGGGCTCCGGAGTCTCCAGGATCTCGCGGCTTTGGGCTTCCCAGTGATCTTGCAAGCCTTTGGGTGGATCCCCAGGATCTTCCTCCTTCATCATGTTTCTGTCTTGACTTGTCCCTCTGAAATGCCGAAATATTTTCAGATAAATTCAGAGTACAGTGGTGCCTTGCTAGACAATGTTCATTCCACTGAAATCGCTGTTTAACGAAATCATCGTCTAGCGAAAAGCATTTCCTTATTGGAATGCATGGAAACCTGTTTAATGCGTTCCAATGGGGAAGAATCGTCGTTGTCTAGCGAAGATCGGCCATAGGAAAGCCGCTTTGCGAACCTCCGATCAGCTGTTTAAATCGGTCTTACGAAGCTCAGGTCCCAAAAACCTGAGGTGTCAAAATCGTCGTCTAGCAAAAATCAGTTTGCAAAGCAGGGACCAAACATTGTCCAGCGAAATTCCCCCATAGGAATCACTGTTTTGTGAATCGCTAGAGCGATCATAAAAAGCCAATGTCTAGTGAAAAAACTGTCATGCAGGATAACTGTCTAGCGAGGCACCACTGTATTTTTAGCTGAGGATCTAACAGATAACCAACACCTTAGAAATCTAAGAGCCTCTGGAAAAAATTACTTGGAAGAAACATAAGAAATGAATTACTTCTCCATTATAATATGCTGTTGAAAACACTGTGCAGAGCCAGGAAAAGTGGAATAATTGGAACAAGTTAAAATATAGATATTTCAGGGGGAAAAATTTAATGACCAAACAGGTTAAATATAATTATCATATGGACATGTCTGGTAATCTCGGGAATCAAAATGCCTTTTTTTTTCATTGACTATGAGAGGAAATTGCCCTAGGATGTGACAAAATGCAGATAGCCAGGCCAGCAATCACAAATCAGAGATTGACAAAATGTAGGGCGGGGTGGGGCTCAGGCAACATCCTAACCCTACCTAGCATCCTCACCACCCCCCTACGGACCCTGGAGGGGCACAATACCTGGACTGTGCAATCCGAGGGAGGTGGTCTACTCAGAAGTAACGCAGCCCCAAGGAACCCCGCCTGCAGGATGGCAGACTTCAGTGGGACGGGATGGGGGGGGCGGCTCCTCTCTAGGGAAACAACACAGCCGGACCCGAAATCCTGCAAGAAACGGCGACGAGGAGGCCGGTGTGAACCTTTAGGCGGCGGGCTTGTTTTCTCCCCCAGCAGCTCCTCTGCGGCGGCGCCTGCACGGCGTCAGACCCCGGAGGGAAGGAAGGGCCAGCCTTCCAGGGGCCCCCGACCTGGCCGACAAACACCGCGCGGGAGAAACCAGCACAACGGGGATCCCAAAGGAAGCCCCCCACCCCACCTTCGCCTCCGGGATGGCTTCTTCTTCGGCGGCGGCGGC